CAATGAAAATTTTTATTTCATTACCTTATGATCAATTTTAAATCAGCACAAATACTAAAATCCATACAAAGAATAAATAATATATAAGTATAACTCGGTAACCGCCTAACCGGTCTCAGACTCCTTTCGAGCTAGGTCCGATTTTAATTTCAACATTTCCTCTCCATTAAGTTGCGGACGATTTGCATCCTAGTTGGCTCGTGGAGATTTCACCCACCTAACCAACCAGACGTTTAATACATAAATTAATAGCTAATAAAGGTTTAAATGGCACTCATACACTTTATTGTTTCACTCTTATAGCACTTAAATATCCCAAGTAATAAAACATAAAAAAAAAATCTACGTTGGCAGCCATTTGAATTAGACTAATGGTGTTAAAAAACTCAATTGGACCAAAATGAGTCTCCTTAGATTTTGGGAGAAAGGTAGGTGAACTAGTAAATACTATAATGAACGAGGTAAAAAGCATTGAATTTTCTCATATTACCAGCATGTGGGAATATTTCAGTAAATATTCTCATATCTAGTTAATAGAAGTTAGTAATTTACATAATTTTAACAAAGTGTATTTTTTTGAAACAAATAAGGTATATAAGTGTCATTTAGCCTTAATATAATTTACGAAGCAGTCTCTTTGTTATTAAATCGAAATGAAGATAATCCAAATTCCAAAAGAAAACGAACAAGAACATGCCCTGAAACTTTTGTTTCTGACTGGCAATCAGGATAAAGCAAAGTTAGCTTTACCACTTAAATAACTCCATATATAGGAACCAACATACACATATATTTATATCCCCATGTTACTTTCAAGCTTTATCCCCCAGAAAACTATGAATAATGGGAGAGTATGGGATTATTAATAGAAATTAATTAGAGTATATTATTAGTTTAGTCTGTAAAAGGAGGACAAAAATTAAAGTTGTAATTCGCATGATATTACATTGTAGTCATCCAACAACAGAAAGCATCTTATGTCATGCTGTATTTTTTACCCATTAATAAAATAAAAAATATATATTAAAATAGCACTTCAAACAAAACAAGAAAAACAAAAGAAAAAAAGAAAAAAAAAGAAAAATAACTATCCTTCAACGTGGAGCTACTAAGTAATTTTATCCTCAGAAATCAAGAGAGATGACCAGTTATGTTGGGGTCCGCGTCGAGGAACCAAACCAAACGCCGTTCGAAAAGACAAAACCGATCAATCAATGCACAAACACAAAACACTAATTTTAACGTGGTTCAGCAATTTCCTACGCCCACGGGGCAAGAAGGAGATGAAGTTTTTCACTAATAGAGAATAAGAGTATAAATTGAGATTACAAATCACTCGAAGGAACAAACTAATCTTTTTTCACTAATAGAGAATAAGAGTATAAATTGAGATTACAAATCACTCGAAGGAACAAACTAATCTCACCACAAAGCTCTTAATCTCTAAGAGTATAAATTGAGATTACAAATCACTCGAAGGAACAAACTAATCTCACCACAAAGCTCTTAATCTCTTCAAATAAATTCTAAACAAATAGCTCAGAAAATACCTCTTTTCTGTGCTCCAAATATCCCAAACTTAAGAAACCCTAGAACGTGTATTGGTATTTATACCAAACACCGAAACCCAATAAGAACAAGAAACTCAAACTGGGCCTGACACGAGTCGCGATCACCGCCATGGTCGACCGCGCCAAACGACAGAACCTGAAAAATGCTTACATGGTCTGGCGGTCGACCGCGACAAACGACAGAGCCCAAAAATCGACTACAGGGTCTCACAGTTGACCGCGACGGTCGACCGCGCCAAATCCAGACACAATCCATGAGCCTGTGCACGTTCGCGGTCGACCGCGCAGCTCCTAAACTGACTCCTACGTCCAAAAACATGTTCTTCGCCAAATTTCTTCGCGGTTTCTTCAAGTTATATGATCTTCACCTTTCTAAAGGAGCTTTACATTGTCTTCACTAGTCAGCTATTATTATAGAATGAGCACTCATTGGCCTGCATGATTAATTAATTAATATTAATAATACATCTGAATTTACTTTTCCTAACTTTCTATTAATAGTAAATCATCCTTGCAAAATGATGAGCGCTCTCTCTCCCTCTGCCTGCCATTCGTGGATAGATACACCTATATTGTGTATAACAATTTATAAAGTCTTCTGCTTTTTTGTTAATTGGTACATGGTCCTACGATGTGAGTCAAGAGTTGTGGCCAACATCCAACTAGTGATTGATGCGATCCAATAACCCCTATATTTTAAGAAAAGTGACCAATTAATTCAAGTTAGTGGAATCATTTGGAGAGAAGGTGTAACCAAAATTTGTTTGTTTAGCAATAATACATTAATTAGTTAATTAAATTCAAGAAATGGGAGAATGTTTGAACATTTTGGCCTTTAGATAATGAACTCGGTCTTGACGTCTGAAAAATATTGAAGGGCTGAATTTTTTTACTGTTGTATACTTTCTATACGGCAATACTTTATGCTTTGTTTGTGAGTTTAGTAAGGAAAGAGACGGAAAGGTAAATAATGGAAAGGAAAGATAAGAAATAAAAGTAAAAAGATAAAATGTTGTTTGGGAGTTTAGTAAGGGAACGGAAGTAAATTTGTTTTATCTTGTTTGAGAGTTTTAATAAAGAGGAGGGAAATGACTAAATATGTATAAAGTTACATAAATACCCTTACATATTGGATGTGAGTATATCTAAACCATTGATTTTAATTTCATAAGGGTATAATTATCTTATCATATTGTAAAATTTTACATTGATTTTCATTTCATTCTTTCCCCCCAAAATTGGAGGGGAGGAAAATGGAAGGAAATTTAACCTTCCATTCCATCCTCTAACCCCTCAAAAAAACTCTCAAACAAGATGAAATTAAAATTTCACTTTAACTTCCATCCATTAAACCTCCATTCAAACAAGGTGTAAGTGTCTCCTAAATTTAGTAAAGAGAAATTATTATAGAGCTCAAATCTAAATAAGCAACATGATAGGTTGTATTATCACATCACGGTTGTTGAATTAACCACTTAACAGCTAGTGTGAGTTTAGGTATATATCAAATTAATTGTTTTCAATATAGTTCATAAACATGTGATTTAGAGATGGATACTCTTAGATATAGGGGGAAAATATATTATCTTTCATTATTTGCGAAAGAATTTTTAGTTCAAATTTATTTGTGAAAGGATATGATATCCTTGTTTTTTTTTTTTAGAGTGAGAAAGTCTTTAGTCGAATTAAATACACAACCTAAATGCAAGAATAGTTCCTATTTCAAATTTTTTTCAGTAGTCATAATTCATGATTTAAATTTCATTTCTTTGTAGAGACCAAAATATCACTTTTGATATTATGACGAGCAAGAAAAGCAAACTTTTTCCCCCCAACAGATGATAATTTTTTTCATGAAAGAGCACTAATCAAAGCCCAAAAGCCAGTATCGTTCCCCTTCATCTCACCATCGCATCAATACAAAGAAACTTACACTAAAAAACTAACAAACGCACATTTTTTTTCTTCTTGTTTATGCAAGAACACATTTTTAATCGTCTAGAAACATAACAATGTTTTGCCATAAAAAATTGGAGGTTTTGTGTGTAAATACAACAGTTCTAGGAAAAACAAAGAATTTTCATTTATTATCAATAAGGTTGGTGCCAAAATCTTTAACGCCAAACAGATCCACTGAAAGCGTTTAAAAAAAGGGAAAAAAAAAGAAACACATCCTAAATTCGTCAAACAACAATAACAAAAAAAAAAAAAAAATTTCTCAAATCAAAATTTGTGTAAAAAGGCTCTCTTCGCAACCAAAGAACAATAATTATCAATACATGACAA